GGTGTATATGTCGTTAAATTTCGACTTAATGTAAGCGATTGAAACTCGTGCCTAAAACCAGACATACAGTAATATATATTCCGACTAGAATGTATATTCCGATGGCAATTTTTACACCCTCGTTTAGGCAACGAATTATCGCTCAATATTCTAGCTACAATGTTATAGCTTGTACCAAAATGTAGCTGATTTCACCAGCTATCTGACAATATGCGTACAATTATTGTACCTGTATTAATATTCGCACAGATATAGACGAATAAAAGTCATGTTTATGTTGCATTAAACATTCTAATTATAATTCAAATTTTGTTTACATTGTGTGATTTTGACCCCATCGTTTAGACAACGTTTTCTCGCTCAATATTGTAGCTACAATATTGTAGCTACAATATTCTAGCTCCCGCTAAAATGTAGGCATCACCAGCTATCTGACAATATGCGTAAAATTATTATACTTGTAATATTCGCACAGATATAGACGAATAAAAGTCATGTTATGTTGCATTAAACTTTCTAATTATAATTCTGGTTTCAAATATTGTTTACATTTTGTTATTTTGACCCCGTCGTTTAGACAACGTTTTCTAGCTCAATATTGTAGCTACAATATTCTAGCTCGTACCAAAATGTAGCTGATTTCACCAGCTATCTGACAATATGTGTAAAATTATTATACTTGTAATATTCGCACAGATATAGACGAATAAAAGTCATGTTTATGTTGCATAGGGCTATTCCATTTAATATCCGTACCCCCCCTGTCGAGGATCCCTGGAATTCTTCAGGGGTAAAGGGTTTTGAGCTTGGAATTCTTCAGGGGCAAAGTGTTTTGAGCTTGGAATTCTTCAGGGGTAAAGTGTTTTGAGTTTGGAATTCTTCAGGGGTAAAAGGTTTTGAGCTTGGAATTCTTCAGGGGGAAAGGGTTTTGAGCTTGGAATTCTTCAGGGGTAAAGAGGTTTGACTTTGAAATTTTTCAGAGCTTGGAATTCTTCAGGGCTGAAGGGTTTTCAGCTTGGAATTCTTCAGGGGTAAAAGGTTTTGAGCTTGGAATTCTTCAGGTGTAAAGAATTTTGAGCTTGGAATTCTTCAGGGGTAAAGGGTTTTGAGCTTGGAATTCTTCAGGGGTAAAGTGTTTTGAGTTTGGAATTCTTCAGGGGTATAACAATGAAAAACATGTATCCTCGACAGGGGGTGTACGGATATTAAATGGGATTTAATTTAAACTTTCTAATTATGATATTAATATAATTAATATATATACTATTAATATATAAAGCGGTTGAAACTCATGCCTAAAAGCAGACATAATATGTTCCGACTATTAACGACATTCATCCCTAACGCAGATAGTTTGAATGCTTGTGAAAATGCCTACATTTTAGCGGGAGCTATATTCCTGTAGCTACAATATCGAGCGAGAAAACGTTGTCTAAACGACGGGGTCAAAATAAAAAAATGTAAACAATGTTTGAAACCATGCAGAATTATAATTAGAATGTTTAATGGAACATAAACATGACTTTTATTCGTCTATATCTGTGCGAATATTACAAGTATAATAATTTTACACATATTGTCAGATAGCTGGTGAAATCAGCTACATTTTGGTACGAGCTAGAATATTGCAGCTACAATATTGAGCGAGAAAACGTTGTCTAAATGACGGGGTCAAAATAACAAAATGTAAACAATATTTGAAACCAGAATTATAATTAGAATGTTTAATGCAACATAAACATGACTTTTATTCGTCTATATCTGTGCGAATATTACAGGTACAATAATTGTACGCATATTGTCAGATAGCTGGTGAAATCAGCTACATTTTGGTACAAGCTATAACATTGTAGCTAGAATATTGAGCGATAATTCGTTGCCTAAACGAGGGTGTAAAAATTGCCATCGGAATATACATTGGCTTATTGCATTTTATATCCACACACTGGGGATAGAGGATATCGGAAATTCCAGGGGAGGGGTCATGAATAATGTGGCTTGGAATTTCCAGGGGGTGGTCTATGGCTTGGACTTTCTTCCGGGGATGGCAGGCCGAATGATAGGTGGAAAATCCAGGGGAGGGGTCATGAATAATGTGGCTTGGAATTTCCAGGGGGTGGTCTATGCTTTGGACTTTCTTCCCGGGATGGCAGGCCCAATGATAGGTGGAAAATCCAGGAGAGGGGTCATAAATGTGGCTTGGAATTTCCAGGGGGTGGTCTATGGCTTGGACTTTCTTCCGGGGATGGCAGGCCGAATGATAGGTGGAAAATCCAGGGGAGGGGTCATGAATAATGTGGCTTGGAATTTCCAGGGGGTGGTCTATGCTTTGGACTTTCTTCCGGGGATGGCAGGCCGAATGATAGGTGGAAAATCCAGGGGAGGGGTCATGAATAATGTGGCTTGGAATTTCCAGGGTAGGGCAGGCCGAATGATTAATGATAGGTGGAAAATCCAGGGGGTGCATGGAGGATAATAAATACTAATGAACATTTTTTGTTTTCTTTGTTTAATAACACAAGTACATAAATAACAGAATCACAAAAAAAAACTAGGTAAATAGGTAACTAAAATTGAATTTATGAAATGTGCAGTTATATATGCCCCATATACATGTTATATCACTTATATGCACAGTGTATCTATCTGTGTGGAGTGTTTGGTATCACAATCAGTCTAATATTTGATGTAGTTTTACGTGAGTAATACCATGATGTGTCAAACTGTCTAATTGCCTCTATTAAAAATGAAGATTTGCTGAAGTGCCACAAAGGGCTGAGCCGAAATGGCCTTAGAAAGGTATATCACGAGGGCACAATATATATATACATATATATATATATACATATATATATATATACATATATATATATACATATATATATATACATATATATATATATATATATATATATATATATATATATATATATATATATATATATATATATATATATATATATATATATATATATATATATCAAGCTGCACTGACGAGGCGTTGAAGGCCGAAACATGCATGTCTGCAGATTGTACTATATATATATATATATATATATATATATAGTACAATCCAAGTCGATCATAGTATTTTCCCATGAGTCACGTTTTAGGGGGAGTTACTAAGTTTAGACTTTTAGGGTTAGAGAAAGGGTTAGGAGTAAGACTAGGGTTAGAGTAAGAGTTAGATTTAGGATTAAGTTTTAAAATACAAAAGAATACAAAATTACAAAAGTCTAAAAATAGTAACTCTCCCTAAAACGTGACAGGTATATTCCTCTTTTGAGTTTCTAAATTCATTCCAATTTTCCTCATTACCTTTGCAATTTGAAAAAAACACCCTTGCAAATTCCTCGTGGGAATTTGCAATGCGATTAAATTTTACTCATTCCTGTTAGAAGTTCATAACTTCCTGTTACAAGTTCCTAACTTCCTGTTCTGTTCTGTTCTGCATGTTGCAATTGGCTAACAAAAATAATCTACCAATGACAACGCTGAAAACAGAACAGGAAATTAAAACAGGAAGTTAGGAAAATTTGCACTGGAATATTGCAACATCCAATAGGAGGAACATTGCAAATTCCCTC